TAGATTTCCTAGCCCGGTTTGCCGCCCTCCACTCAATCGGCATGCTCGAACCCCACGGGGATTGGAACCAATTGATGAGCAGCCCTGCTCAGGACATTCAAGGGACAGTCAGCGTCTTTTCTGGTGGTGCTACGTTCTACCCTGGCGATCCATCTCAGGGTTACTGGGGTGATGCACTTAACTTCACTTTCGCCAACGGCAGTGATCCAATAGAAACCTACTGGTTGGCTGTTTACAACAACCCCGATTTCACAGGCCCTCTAACGACTGGCGGAGATTTCTATAATTATTTTGTCTTGGGGCTCCTCCCGGATTCATATGATGATGTTGAGCTACCTGAATCATTTGCAGACCTTAGCAGCATCGATGGTGAACCCACCAACACCACGGATGCCAATCTTGGGTGGTCGGAAGTCAGTGAAGGTGCTTACCCAGAGAACCCCAGTATTGCGCAAGATAACCTTGCCGCGACGGGGGGTGGTTTTGTTACTGGATATTTCCTAGATGACATATCCACGGGCATTTTGAGCATACCGAGCTTCAATGTATATTCGGATAACATTGGAAACTTTGCTGATGCTGTCACCTACTTCACCGGCAATGCTACGGTCCGAGGTATTTCCAAGGTAGTCATTGATCTACAGCAGAACTACGGCGGTACCTCAATGCTAGCTTTCACAACCTTCAGGAGGTTCTTTCCAAACATTGATCCATTTGCTGGAAGCCGTCGGCGAAGCCACGGGATGGCCGACATACTGGGAAGCACAGTGACCAATTATTGGGAGTCACTAGCACTTGACAATAATACGGAAGCTGAACAGAAGTATGAGATGGAAGCCGACGAATGGGTAGTCACAACCAGATTGAATGCAGACACAGGAGACAACTTCACCTCCTGGGCTGAATACTACGGACCTAGAGAGGATAACGGAGACAGTTTCTCCCTCACTGTCAGTAAAACCAATTCCATGACATCCATATAACTTTGCGCTGATATGGACATGATCAGGAGAGATATGACCTTGCCAACGAAAATTTCGACATCGCTGCATTTGACGGCTGGGTTCCAGTCGCTTATACCCCTGGAAATGAGCCTGAGTGGCCTGTTCCCTGGGCACCGGAAGATATTGTCATTGTATGTATCACCTTTTCTACTACCGAGCCTCTACTGATAGTGTCCTAGCTCACAGACGGTGTCTGCTCCTCGGCTTGTGCTTTGTTTGTTGAGATGATGACCCACCAAGCTGGTGTCAAGACAATTGTAGTTGGCGGCAATCCTACCCCCGGCCCAATGCAAGCGGCTGGTGGTTCGCGTGGCGCCAGGCTGTACTCTGCCTACTCGCTTGATGACGATATAGACGCTGCTAGTACCTTCAATGAGACTGCGGCTAATCAACTGCCACAAATTAGGGATTCTGGTATGTTTGTTAGCTACGCGTCCTTTAACCTGCGTGACCAGGTTCGCGACAAGGAGACGATACCACTCCAGTTCAAATATCTAGCTGCAGATTGCCGTATATGGTATACTCTCGACAACGTGTATAACGTGACGACACTATGGCGCGATGCTGCGAGAGCTACATGGGATGATCCTTCCCTCTGCGTCGAGGGCTCCACGGGTTTCGCCGTCTCAGGGAACAAGACTACCGCCAATCCACCACCAAAGGCAACAGCTATGGCTGTCTCCCTACCCGAAACTGAATATGCCCAGGATTTGAACCTCGAAGAGGCGGGTGGCCTACCGGCAGGCCACGGTCCCATTGGAAAGCCAGACAAGACCAAGATATGCGACCCCGAGAAGGGCAGGACTGAGTGCTCTGCGAGGCAAGCCTGCGTGTCAATACCAGTCACCTGCTCGAATAAGAAGACGAAGAATGTCTACGCATGTGTCAATCGATGCCAAAATCGCGACAACTACTGCCCGAGTGAGACGGAGTTTTGCTGGGCGAGGGGTTCGTCGGAAAGTCTTATGGGGACTTCTGGTGTCTCGAGCAAGAACGCCAAGGCGAACTTGCAAGCTCCTTTGAAGTCTGGGTACTGTGTCCCTTATGTTGGGACTTCGGCATTAGGCTGTCCCTTTACATAGAATATTGCCGAGGTGGTTAATTCGAAAGCGGCGTTGATCAGTAAATCTTTTTAATTTATTTAGTAAAAATTTCTTTTTCGCAATTAAGTACTATTTGTCTTTAATGAAGGTCACTCGAGTGATTCTAGAATCGTTCCCGATAACACTATCACCAGTGTGACGGCCATCTTGAAAGTGGCTGGCGGTAACTCCTGGCTGCGTACCTAAGTCAATTATTTACGCCACCATTATACCCGCAAATGCAAGCACTTTGCTAGAAATTTGGTTAGAAGCACGTTAGATGGTTCTAAAGACTAGGTCCATTATGGTAATATCAACCTTACTGCAGGTGGCGGTAGTACAGTCCCGGGTGGATTATAGTTGGCCTTCAAAAGACATGTATTTCTCCGAGGAGTTTATGTTCAATGAGATATGCAAAATCATATCATCTCATGGTAACCTAGGTGCTTATATAATTAAAGTTGAAGAGCCTACCAATAGTATAAGGACAGCTGAATAATGAATACATATAGTTATGGAGTCTCAAGTAGCTAATAAAGTCTCTTCCCTCTCACTTCTACTGAATACCATAGATGTGTAATTCTGAGGTCGGCGCGCAAACTGTCGTACAGCTTGACCTAAAATGAATTACTTTGTGGTTTATTACACCAAGATCTGTGCACAGCTAAAAGGTGATATCACGATTATGAACTATATGGAAAGCCCGTGTGGTCAAGGTTATGAAAGATCGGAATGAGGCTAATATTAATTTAGGACACTCGTTCTACTAGTCGGGCTCTTTCAAGTCTGCGAATGAGGCAAAAGACAGAGACGGAGATGTGCTTTGGTTTTGCCGATACTACTATACCAAGTCTAACTTTATGGGCTATCGCTGAGGTCTAGGAATGCTAGTTCTGCTCCAGTACTATAGTTGTCCTATGCGCCATCGCACCGCGACAAAAACGGGAATGCGTGAACTGTAGGTTAGACAGGTAGATAGTTCCCGTCTGCTAACTTCGCAAGTTTCAAAGACATGTTTGAAGTACTTAACTGTCCCCTCATCCGTACAACACTATTGTTTCTCATCCTATTTCAACCCCACGATGGCGTCGCCACGCCCATTTCCGCCCGAGATCATTCAGCGAATCGTCTATTATCTCACCCATGGCTGGATTGGCCTAAACGGTCCCGACGAGAATCTACCCTTATTGGGTATCTTCAGAAGTTGGGGCCGCATCGGCGGTGCCGCCTGCTACTCCACCGTCGACAAGGCTTGGCAGGACGCCGTCGAGCGAGAGACCTTCGCCGAGCTGCGCCTCGACCTCGACTGGCTCGCCGAGGCCGAAGCCATCCTAAACGGGGTCCCGTGACGCCAAAAGTACGTGCGCGCCATCCGGCTCAACGTCGTGCTGCCCCTCCCGGACACGCAGAAACAGAACAATCGCACGCTGCAGAATACCTTTGAGGCTTTCTTGTCGACACTGAACCATTGGACACCCGGGCCTCCGGTGAAGCTTTACCTCGACGCGTTTGCACTGACCGACAAGGGCTATGGCGATCAGAGTAATGCGCCGTCGACACGAGTCCATGGTGCCACGTACCACTCGCCGCTCGAGCTAGAGGATCCGGAGCGCCTCTTGCGTCGAGGACCGGTGAATGTTGTCACCGAGGCAGATATGGAGAGGAACAGGCTGATCGGAAGACACTTCTCCGCAGCGGCTGTGTGTACGTTAGTGGCGAGGCTGCCGGTGGCCAAGAAAGTCTCCATTAACTGGCGGGATACGAGTGGTCATTCCAAGATGCGAACAGCATTTGCCCAAGCTCTGACAAATGTCACGCACGCCCTCGACAATTTCCACATCGCCGGCACCTATTCCCAACTAAATCGCCAACAGCCCGCACATCAGTATAAGCCATCCGAGGCCAAACCAGATGAGCTCTCTCAGTCCCTCGGTGTGCTCTCCCAGCGCCTGCGGAACCTCGACCTCTACGAGGTTGTCGTCAGCGACGAACTATTCCTTCAGCACGATCTAGCCTCCGAGATGGCATCACCGGCGCATTGGGCCCGGCTGGAGAATTTCAGCCTCTACTACCCGCCTGTCACGCCGTCGGGTCAGTGGCTGTTCTATCCCGACCCGGGAGTTCCAGACGGACAGAGGGCGACCACCGTCGCAGATCCTGCCATCCAGTGCCGGTACCTCACCGCGGCGCGCGCGGCGCTCGAGATGCCCCTGCTCAAAAACATGACCCTCGTGACACAGTTGGAGCGCGACGGGGACTGGCACAAGTTCTGGTACCACCGTGACGCGAAGGGGAACGTCGCGAAGGCGCTCTGGACCAGCAGCTCTGGGTTCGTGCCGGAGGGTGAGGTGCTGGCGGCCTGGCGGGAGGTACCGCGGAAGCATTTGGGCGAGACGGAATTGGAGGTGGAGATCCTAGAAGACGAGTACGCCGTGTAGGAAATATTCGACCTGGGTCAAAGCCCACCCACAGCTGGTAGTTTGTTGAATGTGGTCTCCCCTTTTAGACTGTTCGCCTATTTTTTTTTAATTCCATATCTGGTTATAGCGCCTGTTAAACGGATACACCTCTCCGAAGGCAATCCAAAGTCATTAGGAAGCTGTGGTAGAACAGCGGTTGTATTGAGTATGTCTATCTTCGGAGTTGAGTTGGACAGTCTGTGCGAAGCTCGAATAGCTTGCGTATAGATTCTCTCACTTCAGTCAGAAGTATTACAATAGACTTCCATTTTTCAATAGTTCAATATTTAATTAATTCTTTAATAAATTTACTCTTTCAAACTCATTTAGGCATTTGTTTATTCATTACCTACCACCTCCTTATAAAATGAAAATATAAAGCAGAAAATATATAAAAATACACAGGGAATGGAATTCCAAAAATGAAGTCAAACGGTAAGTAAGTAAGGTATAAATGCCCCCGCACCGGATTGAACGATGGACCTCAGCATGACGTATGTGGTACAAGTGCTGCGCTCTACCACTGAGCTACAAGGGCGAGATGCCTCAAATGTCTGATATTTAAGCAAAAGTAGATTGGCTAGGGTCCCATCTATAGGTGTAGCGCTAAAATCCTGCCAACTTACCCCATTAGGAAAGATGCCAAGGGACTAGGCTAGATACCTTGTTGGCCCCTACCCTACGCACCGAGCACGCATTTTGCAATACCGTCTCTTGCCCCGTTTGCAATCTAGATGAGATTCGAACTTACCGGTGTGTGTATACTACATACCGCCATTGAAAAGATGGACACACGTACGTAGTTTGTATGTAAGGTAAGAAACTAGATACAACTGTCTATCCTGTGGGTATTTCAGGTTTTCAAGCCGTCTTTCCTACATTGCGTACCAGTGCGTCCGCCAAATTAGAGGTTCCTCGGTGTATGACGGAAAACCTCGAATGGTCGGTTGTTGCATTGCATTAGGTAGGCAGAGAAATCAAGAGCGAGATCGTGGAGTGATTATGAACATGAAAATTACTTTTATTCCAAGTGTCGTTTTAAATAAACCGTAATAACCAAGTGTACCTAATCCACCAAGTGATCCACCGAACAGACTGAAACCTCCCAAAGATGAATTCGTAACTCGTATATTTACATCGCGTGGATACAGGTAGGTACCTATATCGCTGTTGTTCTTTGCTTACACTCCTCACTGTCGACTCCATCAGATCGACTATTATGCGAAATATGTATCGTGAGTCAAGCGGTCTCTGACTAAAGGGCTGTATGGGATCTCGCTCCCGTTTTTAAGTGTCCCTATTATTAAGAAGTGTCAGCAGCAAATCACGTAACGTACGTAGTCCCAAGCAAGGGATCGGGGTGATGAGGTTTCACTAACAGCAAGCTCAGCGTCAAGTCACCGTGAATACGGGCCTTCAGCGTGACTTCGACTTCCAAGTTCAGGTCCAACCTCAACTTCAGGGTATCGCTCTTCCCGTCGTCTTGGCCTCCTTGCTGTTGCATCTGTTGCTGCTGCTGGGCTTGCATCTGCATCTGCATCTGCTGCTGTTGTAGCTGTTGCTGTTGGTCCGGTGGCTCTTGCATCTGCTGGAGCTGACCCTTCCCCTTGCGGCCGCGGCGACGACGGTGGGGGCTCGGGGAGGGCGACACGGACTGCTCGGAGGCGCTCTCGGCGTAGGGGGCGGGTTTGCCCTTGGTTTCGTTCTCAGATCCGCTGGACGCCATGGTGGTGAGACTAGAGGTTGATTGTTGTTATGTTGTGGACTAGGGGTTTCTTTTCGACAACTGAGTTGCTTTTCTTACTCGTAATGGAGACTATCAGGACGAAGATATACGAGAGATGGAGGATTTAACTTAACCAGGCAAAGCCAGTTCGACGATCTAGGTTCTACTTATATACCTACCATGCGGTTCACCCCGCAAGGGCAAGCCACAAATGTAAGCCATCTCGGCATGCGAGAAAACAGGCAAGACAGGGTAGGGCCAGGAATGCGGATAAGTCTCTCACGTCAATCGAGAAAGGAAACTTGATTTAATGCTTGTTAGGTGCTGGCTGCCGTGAGATGATCGAGATTGTGTGACACGGACCGTGTGTAAAGAAGGTTGACGTCGACTAACACCCGCCGTGTGGCTGGTGTGGGCCAGGTTACATCACCGCTGTGGCTCCCCATTGAACTAAACCTTAGGTAGCCCTGGGGACTTGGGGGAGGGGCTGATCTTTGCGTCACCATTTATCACCTCTCAACCTCATCTCCGGCACGGTGCCATGCGCGTGACGACGTGGCGTTGGCGCTCTCTTAACTTGCTGATATCATTGGCAGAATGGCCGGTCGCCCTGTTTTGAACTACCGAATAAGTACATACCTACAGTAGGGTACGTCTACCAGACGCCGGGCCGCTGATGATGAACACGGCCGGTTGAGGCCCTCGCTAACCAGTGTGCGGGAACTCATTCATTGTCTGGCGCATCGCCGCCTCGGGCAGCTCAGGATTATTCCCATAGACACGGTCGCCGTTGCCGTTGACAATGTGACTAATTTCGCTACCTTCTACACCGTTGAGCCACACCGTGGTCAAGTGATGCAGCTTCACCCCTGCAGCCTCAGGTACTTCGATGGCGTTCTCCAACTTGGTGGGCGAGTCCCGAAAGTAAGAATAGATGCCCAACCCCCAAGCTTCATGGCTCGTCACAGCGTCGGCTACCTTGTACGAAGCGTAGCCGTTGGTCCCTCCGTTCATCCATGCGGCCTGGTCTGGCGGGTCGTAGGGGATCTCGGACTGATAGAAATAGACGCGGCCGCCGTTGCCGTTCCAAAGCGTCTGGTATTGTTGGTGGTGCTCATTAAATAGGCCGTACATGATCACGTCGTCTCCGTTTACTACGACGCCGCTATTCGTACGGTTCAAATGCCATCCCACGCCGGGACCGTGATCAGCCCGCCACAGCCATAGCTGGTCGACAACTACGTCGTGGCTATTGATAGTTATTCCTACATCGTTCGTGGCAGCCCCGGTCCGCACCGTTAAATCGTACAGGAATGTTGGGTTGGACTTGTGGCTTGCTGAGCTACCCAGAGGACCAACCTCGACAAGCGACGGCGATTTGACATCCCCTGCGTCGATTATCAGACCCGCGAGTGTCACCCCGTCCACATCAGCTACCGAAATTGTTGGTTGGCCAGTTATGGGGATAAGGGAGGGCTCGCCGAGCCCGAGGATGATAGTCCCAGCTTTAGTGACCCGTAATGTGTCGTCAAGCTTGAAGATTCCCGGGGTGAAAAGTATGTGCTTGCCAGAAGCCAGTGCAGAGTTTATATTGCTCGCACTCGCTGTGGACGGTTGGGCTATGTAGAACTCTTCTATCGGGATGTCCTGGCCGGGAGTGGATGATCCATCCGTCCAGCTAGGCCCCTTTGTGTCGGCCTGTAAGGCCGGCAAGAAGACGTAGTATTGACCTTGGTGAGTGATATAAAGATATGGCTTCTCGCGGATGACGGGTGTCCGATCTATCGTGGTGTAAGGGGGGGTAGGGAAGTCAGCCTCGCTAGGCGCATTGGAGTCGCCTACGAATACCATGTTCCACACGGCGTTAGCCCAGCTTCCGTATTTATTATTTCGCGACAGCCACTGCTGTTGCGAGCCGGGGAGCACTTGGTGGTCAACCACCGAGTCCGCCATAAATCCTCCCGAAGCCCATCCTCCAGCGCCGGAGCTTGGATCCACCTGAAATAGCCAGAGGCCACCTGGGCTTCGGATGTGCATACGACGTAGTGGAGCCGCCTGTGACACGGCCATCGTCGTCGTGTTGTTAGTTGCATCTGAGGCGGTGATCGAGAAATTCTCAAAGATGCGCCAAAAGTTACAAGTTGCATTGCGATTTGGCATCCAGTACGCGGGTACATTGACTCCGCCGTTAATGAGCACGTCGTCGGGACTCTTCCCCAACCCGGCCACCTGGGTGTAAAATCCCACGTCGAAAAGGATATCGTACGTTCCCGGTTTGAAGAGCAGTGCATAACGCTCACTGCCAAACTCGTTCGCCTCCATCTGTCTAAAGATGCCGCTCACTTTGCCCTGGATCTCAAATGCTGGCATGTTTGGGTCAAACACGTACACATTTGGGCCGAAAATTGTCGTGTTCGCATCCGTGATAGAGCGTTCTCCTCCCATCTTGGAAACAAGAAATTATTGGGATAGTTGGATGTGCTGTTTTGCGTGCGAGGTAAGTCCCTGTCGGAACGTGGGGTTGAAACTGGGTATCCCTTCCACATGTGTTCTAAAGCTCAATTCGAGACAGTCCCGTTTCCCTGGTGATATACTCCTTGTGAAAGACAACCGTTCCTAATTACGAAGTGGGAGATAATATGAAGATGCTAGGAGTAGGGTGATTGTGATGGGGTGCGTGTGTGACACAAGATGGCCTAGATTCAAAAGATTCAAAAGATTCAAAAGATTCAAAAGATTCAAAAGATTCAAAAGATTCAAAAGATTCAAAAGATTCAAAAGATTCAAAAGATTCAAAAGATT